CTTTCACGCCTTCAAGTCTTCCCCAGTGTCACCCATCCAGCCCACGGGAGTGAGGTACCTCTTGCCTGCCTCTGGTCCTCCCCTCCCACACTGCCTTTCGGTTTCCCTATCACCTTATTGTCTTGGCAGTTTGCTTGTTAATTTGTCACTTACCTGCCCCTCTAAGACGCCTTGTCCATTTCCATCTTCTCTGGGGTCCCGCTGCCCCCAGAATTGTACCAAGCACATGGTCTGTTTAGAGAAACGAGCGCTTCTCTGAGGTTGTGTGCTGTCCCTGCGGGCTCAGCCAGGCCTGTCCTTCAGTGCCTGCTCCCTCGGCCCTGTGGTAGAGTCAGTGAGAGCCAGAGAGAGTGCTGGTGAGTGGCCAGGCTGGGAGCCACAGTGGCCCCCGTGCTCCACAGCATAGGGACTGTCACCTGCCTCTGCCTCCCACATTTCCATCCACGATGTGGGCCCTTTGTGGTGCTGTCTTGGGACAGGACTGTGGGCAGCACCGGGCAAGGCCTTGTGCAAAGCAGAGCGATAGCAGCGTGTGGCAGGCGCTGTCTAAAGGCTGCTCATTTCGAGGTCAGCCAGGACCCCAGGCCGGTGGCCTAGTTCCATGGGTTCTCAGGCCCTTGGGACTCCTCACCATTATTGATTGTGAAGTCGCTTAGCAGACACCTGTGAGCCCTGCTCTGTGCTGGGCTCTGCTCTGTGTGCTGAGCACACAGCGGCACCTCCAGGCTCAGAGGCCATGCTGTGCCCCGTGGAGCAGTGGACCCTTGGTGTCCCCTCTGAGGTCAGACCATGAGGTAGATGAGCCTCACCTTGCCCACCTGCTTCCAGGTGGCGGTGGCTCCTGCCGGCCCTGTGCTGGAGTGTCCCCGCCCTCAGGCATGTCCTGCCCTGGCCGCCACGTGCCCCTGCGCGTCCTTGTGCTAGTGCAGAACTAAGGTAGGTCCGAGTCATGACAGGGCAGTGTCCACCGAAGTTCTAGAGCTAAGTCTTACCTCTGCCCTGGGAAACTCTGGACTCATCGCTTCATTTCCTGGCCCATTTCTCTGTGGATAATGGAGAGATGACGCAGCCTCCTAGGTTCCTACAAGAATCCAGTGTTGGCACAGTGCCCTACTCACGCTGGGACTGTAGGCTGGCAAGGCATGTGAGTCCCCTGTGTGCAGAGAACACTTGACGATGGAGGCCTGGATAGTGGCCATGCATACCCCGAATGCCTGCCCACAGCTCACCACCAGCCCTTTCCCTCCCTGCCATCCCAGTCTCGGGCCCAGGCTGCCTTATCCTGAGTCCTGCCTTCCGGCATTGGCAGCCTGCCACTCTGACTTGCAGCTGCTCCCTGGTCCTGCTGGGCTCTTCCTGGCCTCACTGAGCCTCCCCACTCCTGTCTCCCTGGGGACCACCTGGACCAGAGCATTGGTTTTCTTAACAGAATTACATCTTTATTTTCTGATTTCACAGGTAGCACATGACCTCTAGGGAAAATAACCCAGGCTTTACAAAAGTGACTTAAGGAAGCTAAAGCCACAATCCCAGCACAGTTGCACTGTCCATGCTGCCCCATAACTGCCTTTGCACGCTGCTTTGGATGGCATGGAGTCAGCGTCTGCTTAGTCTACCTTGAGCACACAGTGAGGAAGTCACTTTGTGCCACTGCTCAGGACTCCACCGTGTCCTTAGACCAGAGTGTGTCGGTGTCGCAATGGAGCCGTCAGGGTCAGCGCGACCAGCAAGGGAAAGGGCAGCCAGTGACCCACAGGCCCCACCCTGGGTCTGAAATGTCCCAGCGACTGCCACTGTCAGGCTCATGCTGATAAGACTTGACGGTTCTGAGCATCCTCTTGCCTTTAGAGACAAACACACGAAGTCACCCGAGAGTCAAAGGCAGGTTTGTCATGGGGAAGTCTAGGGCCGGGCCTGTCCACGGTGGCCTTAGATATGGAAGCAAATTTAATTATAAAATTACGTGTTTTTCTTCTCACCAAGGCCAGAATGGTCATTTAAATTACATAGTAAAAAAACCACCATGGTTCAGTGCAGTGTGCAGGTGTTTATCTGCGAGAGGCTGTGGGCTGTCCCCAGGCTAGAAAACTGGTTTGCATAGAATATTTGTTCCCAGATTTTCTGTTTTGATGCCATTTTTAAGCTAGCTGTTTCATTTTAGCATAGCCAGTAATGAAGTAAACAAAGTGTGGAATATGAGACAATGCTAAATATTTATACCGGCCCTATCCTGTCATTTTTTGAAACTATTAAAATGTAATGTTTTTATATGGAATTATTATAAATTTATAGCAAGTCTGACCTGTGGTGATGCCCCCCTCCACAGCCTGTGAGTTATTGTTCCAAATTTCAGGTGGCAGATGCTTTCTGCAAGCAGCGTGCTGGGATGTGATTAGTTTTTGTGATTCAGGGCAATAATATACCTTCTCATGAGCATAAAACACAAGTGCTGATGGTGCAGTTTGATTTGAGCTTCTCTGAAATACCTGCCCCAACAACAGTCCGACGGCTCTTTCGCAGTGAGGAGGGCGATGATGAACCCTGCCCTGAAGACTTCCCGCCTGGAAGTCTCACTTAAGGTGTACCCCGGAGAGGGTGGGCTGAAGAGCAGTCTGGGTCTCCAGGGTGGGTGAGTGGAGGAATAATTGGTCTGTGAGCAGAAGCTGGGTTCTGTGGGGCTATCGCTAAGCCTAAGGGCGCTGAGGACTGGAGGCTGGGACTCAAACCCCAGAAAGCGTCTCTTCCCGCGTGGGTGGACCAGAAGCCACCATTGTGGGTGGCTAAAGCAGGCTAGGAACCTTCCTCAGCATTTCTTGTCCTCCCTGAATGTCTTCAGTCCCCAGAATCCTAGGGGGACACTAGGGGGCAGGCCTTGCTGGTAGACGTGGAGCACCGGGTAGAGAGGTAGAGCCGGGCGCATCTCCCCTTGCGCGGTCAGAGCCTGGCAGGTGGAGCTTCCCAGCGTGCCAGCGGGCTCCGAGCAGCGGCGTGAGAGTGCCAAGAAGACGTCTCTGGCTGTGGTGCCCGAGCTAGGCGGGGAGAGGCGATCGCAGCGGGAGGGACACCGCGGGAAGCAGGCCCAGCCGACCTCGGAAATAAGTTCCCGTCTAGTAGACGGGGCTCGCCCGAACCTAGTGTCCTGGCTCCCAGGGGCCGTGTCCCGGCCGGCCTGTGTCAAGCTTCTGTGTGGGCCCAGCTTGGGCACCGCACCGTGAGGAGCATTCCCCCGTGGTGACCTCCAGGGGCCCGCAGCCTAATGGGTCAGAGGTGTGTTCACACAGTTGCCATGCCGGTAACGTGACAGCTCGCTGCAGGCCTGGTTCACACAGGAGCCCGCCGGTTGGTGGCCAAGCTCCACTGGGAGGAGCAGCCTGGGAACATGGCGGTGGTAAGCTGAGGAGAGGAGAGCTCCCCCAACCCTCGATTCAGTGCCATGCCGGTGCGCGTGTGACGGCGGGCTGAGGGCCTCTTGCACACGGAGTCATCCCCAGACACCCTGGGTCTGGACAGGCCACCCAGAAACCACCACTGAAGCGCCTGCAGGGAAGCAGGAAGTGGGCTTCCCAGGCGCCGAGCCACTGCGAGTGGGGCCAGAGAGCCAGCCCCCGTGACTTCATCAGGCGCTGTTTGAGAGAAGGCAAGTGCACTCCTGGAAGTGAGGCCAGGGGTCGCATGGTGACCTTCCAGTTCTCTGATTCTGGTGTTACAGTAGCACTGCTGCTCCGGACGGGGCCAGGGACCGTGGTGCGGACTCACACCTGTGCGCTGGGTTGGGTCAGTGAGGGAGGTCGGTGCCTGGAGCCAGCGGGGACCTGAAGCCCATCAAGGGTTCCCAGGAGCAGCAACCCTGGCTAAAGATGCCAGCAGTGAGCAGGAGACAGCATTCCAGGACAGGCCCCGCGCAGGTCCCTCGCTCAGAGCAGAAAGCAGCCCAGCCCCATGGCTGTGGGGCCAGCTCAGCACAGAGGGTGGGGGGAGGGAGGTTTGGGGCCACCCGGGCCACCCCCGAGCCTGGCCCTGTCTGCCTTTGTGCACTCCGTGTTGGCGGTCCTCAGGCCAGGCCCCCGGGCAGCGCCCTGCCCACTGAGCAGCCCAGCTGGGCGCTGCAGGGTGAGGAGGCGAAGCCGCTTGGCTCTGGGCCTCTCGGCTGGGCAAACTGATGGGTGCGGCTGGGGAGACTTTGGGACAGGGCCGGCTGTGTCCAGACCCTGGGCCCAGCACTAGGGGACGGGTGAGGGCAGCTCGAGTGTTCAAGTGTGCGTCCAGATCCCTCTGATGCCGTCAGCGGATCCTTCCACAAACGGGTCGCGGCACAGGAAGGGTGCGGGCAGGGGTGGCCCTGCTCCTAGCAGGTTAGTCCCCCAGAGGCCGAAGCTGGGTGACTTCTCTGCAGAAACAAGTCCACTTTTGGCGACGCCACCCAGGTCCTTTGAAGGCCGCTGCCAGGAGCAGGGCGAGGAGCTCTGCCCTCCCCAGGCAGCCCGGCAAGGCTGGCCTAGCCAGACCCAGCCACAGGGTCCTGGCAACTCGGGTTGTGAGACAGAATCAGCTCTGGTTGCCGTTAAACATGGGCACGGACACACACTCGTGCACACACACCTGGCTGTCAGATGCTCTGCACACTTGAGCTTCTTACACAAGCTAGAAGATGGCAAGCCTGCGATCGAAGGACAGCTGCTTGGCCTATAAGCATCATAGACACACAAAGACGATGGGGAAAGATGCATAACTGTCTAGAGAAATGATTTCTACATTCCACTTATGTCAGGGAAACGACTTACCGATGATATAAAATTATTAGTATTATAAAAACTTGTTTTTCATCAATATCTGGGGGGGATCCTCAACTTTTATTCTTAAAATAGCCACTGACTCACAAAACAAGAAAAACACAACCAAAAGCAAAAGACGAAGAGCATGCCACCACTCGTAGAGGGGACAGACAGCTGGGCAGGGTTTTATGAGGCTCTCCCCTCAGCCTGAACTTTGTCATCTCTTAGGTGAGAAAATGCGAATGCTGAAGATGATGAACGGCAGATTGCGTAAGATGTGGAGAAGATCCGTGCTGTGAGGAAACGACCTTCACAAATCACGTTTATCATGGTGTAGTGTGGAACTAGGAAGTCCATGCCAGGGGCCTAGAAAGTGGACCCGTGAAACAGCACAGAGAATTTGTGTCCACGTTAGTGATGGCAACACAGACAAAGTCACCTACACCTTATTTTTGGGGAGGGCCTGTGTGGCCTCGAGAGAGGGTGCCATGGTGACGCTGCCTTTTCTTTCAGCGGGGGGAGGGGGAGCTGCATAAAGAAAAATTACACTGATTCATTGAACTTGGGTAAAGTGCCGTGGCCCTGTCCTCCGTAGTGAGACTGCTCCCCGGAGAAACTCACAGGCTTCACGTGTGCACCAGAACCTCCGTGGGGAAAGCAGGAAGGAGGGAGGGAAAGAGAACTGAACCCCTGCAGGGGAGCCAGCACCGAGATAAACTAGGAGTACGAAAGAATCCTTTGCTTACATGGAGTGTGCAGCCCAGAGGAAGAGAGATTCATCCCGGGTTATTAAAAATGTCCTCTGAGAAACCCTGGAATAATGGTGCTGGCCAAGGGTGGGAAGCTGCCCCAGCAGCCCTGAGCTGAGGCCTTGCTAGGTTGGGGTCCCTGGATGGGAAGGGTCCCTGCAATCAGCTCCGGGCAAGGGGGAGCGGGTCCTGCTGCATGCCGGCACCAGCGGGAGGCTCCTCCGGCAGGCCAGGGTCCAGGACCCACTTGGAGTCCTCCTGAAACGTGGGAGCAACTTGCTGTGGCATGGGCTCTCCAAGGAGCGCCCTGGTGGGCACCAGAAGCGAAAGAGTCCTCCTGCCCGCAGGGAGAGGGCCTGAGACAGGGATACAGGGAGACACGCAGGGCAGGGCCACTTCCACCCTCGCTGGGCTCCGATGTCCTTCAAGGAGAAACTCACCTGTTTCTCCGTTCTGAGTGTGTATAAGGGGCCAGGAGCCTGGCGTGGCACACTGTGACCCTGGACTTCACATCATGTCACTGTAGCCCTTCTGTGGTGCTGGGGACGTGGCCCTGCCCTCTGTGTCTGGGAGGAACTGGGTTTATCTTCATTTAATTGCAGCAGCCACATGAGCCTGGTAACCGCTTTTGAGACTGTGCTGGACGGGTCAACCCCTGTGGGCCAGAGAGACGTCAGCCGACACTGCTCGGATGGAGAGTAAACAATGCCACCGGGCTCGCGGGCGGCCGGGGGGAGCCCAGGGGGACCTCTCCTGCCCCTTTCCTGTCTCTGAGGTGGTTTGCATTGCTTTGGCCTGAATTTTGTACTTGCAGCCTCCTAATAATATCCGAGCACCTCACAGCCAAATAGGTTGGGGGAAAAAAGAACAGAAAAACAATACTACGTTTCTGTCTTTAGTAATTTGAAGAGCGAGCATTAAAAACTCAGTCAGACATTCAGTGATTTTTGCACAGTAGAAATAATACATACTTTACATCGGAAGTAAAGCACGTTCTCCCAGCAATTTAATTATGCAAATGCAATGCAAGGCGGCAGCGAAGCGATGTGAAAGGAGAGGCATGAAGATTGATAAGCTAAGATTTCCGGCCACGGTCCCCTGGTTAACTTCCTCTTTTGGTTAATGTTCTGCTGATGGTCATGCGCTACTTAGTGGACACCACATTTCTTTGTAATAAGTGCCCCTACGCACTTAGGCAAATACTGTTAATCACTGTTGCTTTGGAACGCAGCAGCCACCACCCCCTCTGCCCAGCAGTATGAGGCCCCAAGTGTGGTTAGATGCACCGGGACCAAAGCCCCTGCGCTGAGAGGTCTGCTTTCTTTCCCTCCGGCTGCAGCAAGATTCCGGGTTCTGAAGTGTCGTCCTGTTTTCCTGAGGGGTGGCCCGAAGCCAGAGCCCGCAGAGTGGGGGAGACCTGTGGTGTCTCCTCCCAGAGGAGCACTGGGGACCTGCTAGGGACAGGGGAAGCAGGGCAGGGAAAGGGGGCCAGACCGTGGGGGATGCGCCTTCCTACCCTGGAGTCCACGATGCCTCCGTCTTGGTCCCCACTCATGCACAGCACCAAGGCCGGTCACCGGCAAGGGCCACCTTGTGGATGGAGTCCCCAGCTCTCCAGGGGGTCCACGGGCCTGGGAAGGGTATGGGCCAGAGGAGAGACCCAGGGAACCATGTGGAGCCCGGGAGCCTGCCTTGCCCTGCTCCCCCGGGACTGCCAGTGGGGGTTGACTTGTGTGTCACCCTGGCTGGGCTGAGGGATGCCAGAGCACGGTTGCCCTTCTGGGAGTGTTAGTGATGGCTTCCCGAAGAGGGGAACATGGCCCAGTGGACTGAGGCAAGTGGGCAGCCTTCCGGAGAGTGGGCACCAGCCATCTCGGCCCTGGACAGAGCAGGATGGCGGTAGAGGGAGGGAGACTCGCTCCCTGGCTTGCCATGTGAGCGAGGCGTCGGGCTCCGCGCCTGGCTCAGACTCGGTTGCTCCAGCAGCTTCCGTGGCCTGCAGTCACAGGCAGCAGGTGGGGACAGGTCAGCCCTGTCCTGTGAGCCGCACCTCAGGGCAGATCTGCATGCCTGTGTGTGGGCACACTCGCACACCTGCCTACACACACGTGCACACAGTCCCCCTAGGTCTGTGATTGATTCTGCAGAGCCCTTCAGATGCGCAGCCGCCCTCTTCCCTGGACCCTGGGGACCCTGGGGACTGGAGAGCGTCCCAGTAAATCAGTGGGATTTATTTCTGTGCCGTGGTCTTTGTACCACAGTAGGATGTTTTTTTGGTTGTTTTGAGACAGGGTCTTGCTGTGTAGCCCAGGCTGACCTTGAGCACGGCGATCCTCCTTCCTCAGCCTCCCAAGTGCTGGGATTATAGGTGTGCACCACCACACCACTGAGATCCCAGTGGTTTTGTAAGAGCAGCCCTCGGGATGTCAAGCACCCTGGGCTGGTGGCCATGGAGGGAATGTCTGGAAAGGGTAGTGGGGTGGTTCTCGAGAGTCCTTCACCCTGAGAATGCCAGGTCAGGAGTCCACAGAGTCCAGCAAGCAGGGTTTGTCCCCTTCCAAAGCCTGAGTGCTGTGGTGACACCCGCCTGCTTTAGGCCTGGACTCTGCAGCAGGGCCAGGCAGCTCAGGGCCCGCGGTGTCCCCAGCCACCACCCAGCTGCCCAGGTGGGGGAGGAGGTGGGCATCCTGCTATTGGAGGAAAATTGAAGCTGCAGCCGCTGCCTCTCGTCCTGTTTACCTCCCCCTTTCAAGGTGTCCCTCTGAAAGGCTCTCTGCGAAGCAGAAATGCTGTTTTGAAGGTGAACATAAAAGCTTTCTTGGCAAAGAAATTGCTTTGTTCCATTTGAGAACCCTCTCTGCCTTTGAGAAGCAGATTCGAGGCTGCAGAACTTGATTAGCTCTGTCGCCCTTCTCTCGGGTTTCTGGAGACAGGGCCAGGCAGGGGCCCCGCATCCCTCTGTCCACAGCACCAGCCTGTCCCTATCACAGGACATCAGCCTGCTGTGTCCAGGGCCCCTGACATCCGGGCCCCCTGTGCAGATGCCTCAGGGGCCAAATCAAGTTCTAGGTGTGGGGCAGGATCAGGTGTGGATTTAGGGACCCACGCTTGAGGCCGTTCTGCTGCTAAGAGGCCACAAGAATCCTGTCTCACAGAGTGAGCATTGCTATAGAGTGCTGTGCAGGACCTTTGTGTGCGTGCGTGTGTGTGTGTGTGTGTGTGTGTGTAGGCAGGTGTGCTTTTCCTTGTCCCAGCAGGTGGGGCTGGCAAAGATGTTCCCTCCCTGCCCCTTACACAAGGACTCTGCCAAAACAGTGTCAAGTTGAACTCAACCATATAGCCAAGCCTGATGTCTTCATATTTAGGCAGCTGCCCCTCAGAGTCAGGGCTCAGCCCCAGGACACTCAGCCTCCCTGGGATGCAGTGGTGGGGTTTGTGCACATGCTGTGCCTGTCCTCCCGAGGTCTTCACATCGTCTCTGGATGACCCGGGCCTCCGGCGGTGTGCACAACTGTTGGGTGGCGTTGCCTAGAGAATAGTGACAGGAAGTAGTGCCTCTCCCTGTTCTCTGCAGACCCCACCTTGCAGGCCCAGTGGCATAGAGGGCTCAGCAGGAGCTTCAGGACCGAGGTGTGTGGAGTCCGGCTGCCCCTGGACATGCTGCAGCCCACTTCACACACACGTTTCCCAGTACCTGACGCCCTGCTCAAGCTGTGGCCAAGTACAAGCTCTGGTTTGGGGGACTTTCTCAGATTTCTTCTTCCAAATATTTTCAATCTGCACTTGGTTTATTTTGCATTTGGTTAATCCACAGATTCAGGACCTGCAGGTACACAGGGTTGGCTGTACTGTCATAGTTTGCATCCCAGAAATATGTAAGATGGAGCCATCATGGTTAGGAGAATGCAGGATTTTTAGTAATAAGACCTAGACTTAAGAATTTAATTTGCTCTTGATTCATTATGTGGTGAACATCAGCTCTAAGCCTGTTTCCCCGTCTGGAAATGGGGCTAAGGGCAAATAGTAAGATTCCCAGGAAACCCAACAAGAGGACATTTGGGGAAGCTGGCCTTCCCAGCACCTCGCAGTCCGAATCGGTGTCTTCAGCACCTGGAGGAGGGTGATGGAGCTGCGGTGGTCCTGGGTTTGCAGGGCGCGAGCTGGGCTCCGGGGCTGGAGCCCTTGTGTAGCTCAGCTACCGTTGCTGGTCGAAGTACTTGATCTCATGGTGTGGAGGACGGGTTTGCTTGGCTCGTGGTTTCAGAGGGTTCAGCCCATGGTTGCTGGGAGGACATCATGGCGGAAGGGTGCCAGGGAGCAGAGGTCCTCACTTCATGGTGACCAGGAAGAGCGGGGGAACAGTGCTGGAGAAGAAGGGACTGGGCCCCAGATGTGACACCAAGACCACCCCCACCCAGCTCCCTGGGCGGCTCCACGGCCATCAGGGTGCCAACCTAGCTGAGGGGCCACGTCCCCCAGGCTCCTGATGGCCTCCTGGCCCTGCCCCCATGTGCTCCACACAGTTGCCAAGTATGGGCCTGGCCTGCCTGCTGCCATCCAGCTCTGGCTCTGGCACTGCACACGCTGGAGACTGGGCTGGGGAGGTGGTGGCCTGACCCCGGGGCGAGACCGTGTCCGGAAGGGAGGGTGGGCAAGGCCTAGGGGGCGCGATGCTCTCTGGTGCCTGCCGGCCCAGCAGGTCCTGTCCCACCCCTTATGTGTGCTGGGTCCTCCCTGTCCCCCGAGAGTTGCGAGAAGTGGCCCAGGACAGACATGCTTAGCACAGTCCTGATGTGCGTCTCCTCCCCTCAGTGACCCCAGTAGCCCCAAGATTGTCTCTGAAGGGCCTTGAGGTTCTCCCACCTCCAGGTCTGTCACGGATTCTTAGACACTTTCGGCTCACTTGGGGACTCCTGACGGGTTATTATTTCCCAGAGCTCTTGCTGCTGGCGTTCTTTTGCACAGAACGTGTTTTCCTCTAGCGATGGTTTCACTGGGGAAGGACTCGGTCCTTTGGGAAGGCTGAGGCTGGGCACTGTGCCTGTCCCTGGGGTATGAGCTGAGCCCTAATCCTCCCCTGAACTGCCTGCCCACCTGGGCCTGGCCTCCAAGAGGAGCTGGGTGCAGGCTCGGGGCGGAATGCCATGGCTCTCCTCAGTGGAGATGGTCCTGCAGCAGCCTTTCCACCCTGTGCCCACCCCTTCCCAAATGCACATATCTGGGGGAGGGCCTCATTCCAGGCTAGCCTTCACGTGGCTGTGACATGGTTTGCCTGCTGCCAGAGCAAGTGTCTTCAACAGTATGCAGAGTGTGTTGATGGCCCATTTTTGCCTGTTCCCTTAAAGGCTAAAACAGAGATGATGAGGTAAGCTTGGGTGCTGTCCGCACACCGAGTACGTCCTTTCTGTTCGCCGCATCCGCCTCCCCCAGTTCCTCTGTCTGCAGCCCACACTCATTCTGTAATCTCAGATCTTGGGGGTGGAGTGGGTTAGCAGCATGCACGAGATTCCTTGGCAAAGTAACTGCTTCTCACAAGAGGCCTGGGCTGTCACTTCCTTACATCTGTGTCGTTAGTCTTGTGACTTACTTGCAAAGTGAAAAAGTCTACCTCTGTCTCCCGCTTCTGTTTTCAGTCTGCTCCTGAGAAACAGTAGCTTATTAATCTCCAACCCCATGGCCATCCCGCGTGCGATGGTATGAGTCTGGAGAGTTCTTACCTAACCATTAGGGATTCAGGGAATAAATGAAAGCAGAGGCTGCTAATAGGAGACCCGGCTGGTCTCTGTCCTCCAGCTGTAAACACCAGGCCGGGGTGTGGTTCTTAGCTCCACTGTGGTGTGGACGGCCATAAGCATCTTTCGTTTCTAACCCAGCTTTCAGTCATGCTCTTTTAAAACTTCTCTCTCCAGGAGCACCCTTCCTGCCATTGTCTCATG